GTTCATTCCACAAATGTGACTGGAATTATAATCAATCACTTGATGCGACAATGCGAAGTCCTGCTAGTCTGACCTCTCGTAGGATAAAATCTATCGTGCGCGGGGCTGCTGGCATAACTTTGTGTGTATGTGTTTGTGTGTGTGCGTCAACATTATATATAGAAATCAGGATTCCACAAGAACTCGCCAAGAACTGTAGTATACAGCTTTGTCCTGTCGCATGAATGTGCCTAAAACAAATGTACGTAGTCATGTTCGCGTGCCTGTGGATTTCATGAGATGAATTAATGAGTCTTATGTGATTTGGACGCACTTGATATACCCTGTGGTGTCTGTGGGCCTTGATCTTCCAGGTAAACAAAGCGGAAGACAGAGAAGGACTGGTAGAAAGAGAATTACTACAACAATATGGGCGGTATGATTAATGATAGCTAAGTCGTTAATTGAACTACTGTTCAAATGGTGCGGGTCGTAATCCAATGGTAGGCATACACAGGTCGGTTAATCACGGTTTGTCTGTGAGCAGTTTCGCGTGTTGTTCTCCACGGGAGGCCGAATTTGTCTGGCACTAGGGTGTAAACGAACTCCACCGGGAGTCAAAGAGGAGCCCAACTCGTGAGGGTTTTTATGCGATGAGTTTCAAACTGTAACGGAAACAAACTCAGCGGACTATCGGGTAACCAATTCACATGGAAGCGAAGTCATAAATAAATGAATGAACGAATGAAAATTCATAAGTGAGAAGAAATCATAAAATTCAATCATCCCATCAATGGAGAATCTCCACAGTTTTGTAACCTGCCCGGAGTAAAGTAGTAGAAAGATCACAGAATTTGTTATAACATTGCAAATCGTCTCCGTGGTCTGAGAGCTGAACCATCCAATCACAAACCCACACTAAAATATGGACAGCACAGAAATAAGCATAATCAAGATTCAGTATGGATAAGATCTGCTTCCCGACCGGATGTGAAATTTACAATCACCACCAAGTCCTTTGTTCATCTGACTGTCCCTGTTCGACATAATGTTTCGCGCGAGTGCATCCAGGGAATTTAGGTGCCGGCACAAATTGTTTTGGAGTGTGGCTACCATGTCACAGCTAATCTAACTCAGTAGGTTATCAGGATGAAAATGTCTCTGTGTATGAATGTGTGTGTAATTACTTTCAGCTCGGAGTGAACCCGGTGAAGTGACAAGTGATTTGGAAGTTCCAGCGTTCCGACACATCGGGTGACGATTGCGGATCGGTTCAAATAGTCATATGGACAGGCTGCCTAGACGATAAGCTGCTGCCATAGTCAAATCAAATGATCATGGAGCAAGTGTAATGGAGAATCAGGCACTTTTTAAACGGCACAGACATAATTGATCTGGCGGTGAGCGTCATGTGAAGTCTGGGTGAATGCAAAATGGTAATTACGTTATTCTGATTCCAGATCAAATCATAACGTTACGTTTGTGGTCTTTGATGGTAAAAGCCAATCTGAGTATTCATTGATGGGCGTTATCCTATGCGTATGATGCACAAGTTCTTCAGTAACATTCATTTTTTTTCAGTTTGATAACCTGGGAATGTGTGATTCATGTACACAATCCGCGTTTCCCAGTCGTTGGTATTAGCGCCGTAATACGGTTCAGAATTGAGTAGACAAATGGAAACTTGGAAGGATTCTGAATTTTTATCCTTGTATCAATGCTTCCGAGCCTTGATATATTTTTTATGAGCCAGACACCAGCATGAAAATGGCGGTCGAGCATACGTGACCAATAAACCTGAAACAGTAACAGCATGGTTAAGTTGCCGAATAGTACTAGGCATTATGTATTATTGGCACTTGAGAACATTAGATTTTCTCACCCCAAAACGTGTTACTGAAATGGTTGACCAAACGCAGAGACGTGACTTTGAGCAATCTGGATAAGCGGTGCATAACACAAATTCACGCGTCTAGTCAAAACTACAGTAAGAAAAATTGCGCGATATGAAGGGACGTGGAGGAATCATTCACATGATCATCATATGGTTTAAAAAGTGTAAAAACTGATGCAGAGGGAACATGTATGTTCAATGAATGAGTACGATGGTGGAACCGATATTATGGTAGTATCCAACGAATTTTTGTTCAGTCTATTAAATTACTCCAGCATTTTGTTATTTTTATTTTCCTGTACATGTTTGATTGGGGAGTAAATGATGACGGATGACTTAAACAAAATTACGCAGCAAATTGTTTCACAATAGGGGCAAGCCATGGGAAAATGACTGACGTTGGCTACACCAAGTTTATCTGGATTGCTATTTTTAAGTGGATTATGCAACAAAGCGCGTCGGACAGTGAATTCAGTCTAACAATGCTAAGGGAAATAGCTTCACACTAGTTCATGGTCGATATAGGTTTGCAGTCTTTGATCAAACAAAGTATTTCGAACACGGAACACACAATAGACAAATCGTTCAAATTTCTATCTAACACAGAATGTTCCCAGCTCGTCAAAAAGGATTTTGTTTTTAACAGCTAGCCCCTGTCTGTGTTTTTTCTGTCAGAATGGCATTGCAAATACATGGATACGCGCTGCTGACTGACAACATTGAAAAGCACTCCAAACAGATTGTGATTGTAATCTGTCTGATCCACATGGTAGATCTCCTGGGAGAAGATGCTGTGGAGGAAGTGGGCACTATCCAACTGTTCAATCAGTATATGAAAGCATTGTATCCATCTTCTAGTCGGGATCTCTGTCCAGCGATTTCCATTTTGCCTACACCAGCTGACTCCATCAATTACCACATCGGGAATCTTTGATCATTTTTTCACACACATATCACTCCAATCAAGCCCATCTTGTTTCTGCTCTGGATCAACTAGCCAACATCTCAATACAAACAGATTTGACCTTTTACGTTCTTAATAAAGGATTTATATATGTTTAGCATTGAAGAGGTGTAGGGCAAAATGTATCACGTGAGATGCCTGAAAACAAATTATAGTGTGTCTGTTCGTACCCGGTGCGTCACATATACATCAGTTGCCCAGTAAAGTTATTCAAGCTTGTTTTGGGAGACATTTGGTAGACCCCTCCAAGCAGTTTCACAAGTTGTGCAAATTATCTTCATTGCTAAAGTATGATTTAGTTTGGATGCCTCAACCAAGCATCGTTTAATCCATCCATGACTGTTCGTTCTGCCGATTTCCCCTGCCCACCCTCTATATCTAAGCCACCCCAATGACTTAATTTTTATCTACTTTGTCCTGACTTGTTTGCAGTCCGAACTTGCGTGCAAAATTTAGTTAACTTACATCTCCGAATACTTCTCCAAATAGAGCATTGAAATATAGTGCAATTGTTGGAGGGTGTACTGTATGTACTGTATTGTGTTGCTCTTAAATCCAGCAGATGATAAAAGTTCATGAAATCTGTTTTCCTGAAATTTTCGAAAAAGGCAGGGCTCGGTTAGGTGAACCGTTTCAGTAATACTGATCCCCGTCTATAGATCAAATGGAGGAACTAAATGCAATGTGAAACCGGGTTAACTGGAGCATCTAGCATGTACTTCTGATGAAACAGGGAAACAGAATTCGAGGGACCGAGAGGGGCTTCCCAGTTGAATGGACACAACAGCAAAACAATTTGATTTATCGGGTACTGATTAATTGATATTTGAAGCAGAGTGATTGCGTCAATGCAGGACGCCAGTCACTTAAGGAAAACAGTGACAATCGTCATCAAACGCATCCTATATGAACTCTGTACGAGCCGACAGCCGGTGTCAAAGTAAACTTGACTGAGCCAACGATCACCTCGATTGGCCTCGGTTGAAACTAAAAGCCTTGCGTGGCGAATGGGGAATTCATATTCTGTTTGT